CTAGAAAAGATGTTAAAGGTAATGTCGGTATAAACCTCTAATCTCTCAGAACAAGGTCAATATATATTAGGTCAATATATTCTTCTATTGCAATTCATCTATATATTTATATGCCATTGGATCTATTTCTGTTAACTTTTTTTCTGTGTCAGGTCTAGATAGAGGTTTTCTTATCCCTTTATTTGGACTTGAACATTGTACCATGTTCCATCCTTACTCATCAGAAAACACCTTACCAACCTTATCAGCATTTTGCATCCTACTGAGTAGGATTTCGCCAATTCTACCTCTTTCGAATCGGTCAGGGATTTGAAGTCCTAGCATCCTTTCTCTCTTGGCTAGAGGGTTACTCTGGAGGCTTGTTTGAGCTTTTATCCAGAGTGGTTTGCCTGATTTGCGTGAGATTCTCCAAGGCCATGTAGCGATCCACTTGTATCTTGTAGGATACTATATATATAATATATAATAATCTTTCGCACACACCCGAAATGCTAGAGGCTTGAGTGATTTTACAAATCAAAAAGAGTGCACAATATGGAGTTTAACAGTGAAGCTCAAACACCTTAAGTGGTATCCCCTAAACCACCTCTACAAAATACATAGAAAACATACATACATAAGGTGGGATAGAAAACATACATACATAAGGTTGCTTGAGTGATTTTAGCCTGTTCGCATAGTACACTAGTTGTAAGCTCTGACCTCCCATACAATCAAATTAACCCCTTTTGAAATTGACAATACCACCTCTACCAGGCAGCCAGTTCATATATGCACAAACATAACTTTCGTTTTACCAAACAGATATGAGCACTTTTTGGATATGTTGTGTGCTCAGATCGGGGCTATTCGGGAATATAATTTTTGTGGGGTTCCGATGCTGTTGTCATGTGTGACATGACCAATCTCGCCACATTTCATTGGAGGAGCCTGGTTGCCTACCTGCTGCCTTTGGATTATGGACCGGCAGTTAAACAGTTAATTTTACTGTGCAGCAAGGTTTATTCATGCCTTTCTGCACAGCCGTTCGGTAGATTTAGTCTACCGCACAAACCGCCTTCTATTAGCCTCATCTGAGCCGCGGGGAGCCGGCAGGCACTGTTAATTGGCTGCCCAGAAGCTGGCGCGCGCCGCCAATCTACCTCCCAGAATCCACGGTTAACCGCAGCTTAGCGAGCATGTGCAGTCAATTGACCACCCAGTAATAGTCAATTAAGCTGCGGTTAACCGCAGCTACTGGGTGGTCAATTGACTGCACACACTCGTTAAGCCACAGTTACACTTAGTGACCGCTAGGTGGCGGTGTTATGGAACTCCCTGGACTGCCAGCGGTACTCAGCAAGGAATCAGTGCACTAAAAGCGAACACTTTTACGTGCAGGCACCGCTGAGCCTCCAGCCTTCCCTGCTTCTATTTGTGGCTATTTAACTGAACACCTGATCATTCGGGACTTTGTTTTATGTGAATGCTTTAACCCAGATAGAACAGGCACCATGGCAATTGAACTGTGTGTATAGGATCTGAGCGCTATTCGGTACAATTGTGCGCTCAGATCCCAGCTACCTGGGGATGGGCTACATGTATATATTTTATGTGATAAAGGTAACATTATGTATTTTATTGTATTTTAGTGTTTTATTGTAACCACGTGTGTAATGGTGATTTGCCTCTATCCTGGGAGATAATTGGATTACTTCCCAATTATCTCCAGGATAGAGGGGAGGGAAATTAGGATGCATTGTGGGGATGTTTTACTTCTGTGTGTCTGAATGTGATAGATGTCTGTCTGTGTTAGAGTCTTCCATCTGGTCCCCTAGGGGAGTGTCCACCAGATGGGAGACCTGCATAAATACTGGGCAGGTAGCCCTCAATAAACCAGACCACTTGACCTTCAACACGGAGTTCTGTCTCATTCTTGGGGGGATTTACTGTATGCTGTTAGAGACTAATTGCCAGGAGTGTAAGCCGCTTGGGTGCTTTTCCTGTTCGTCTGCTAGCAGCTATTCGTGAGGTTCCAGTTCGGGAGTTTGGAGTGCCACTTTGTATGCAGTTTGGGAGTTTGGAGCATTCCCTTGCATTCAGTTCGGGAGTTTGGTGTTCTGCAGTAGCTGTGCCTGTGTCTCTGGAAGGGAAGATTTACTAAATGGTTTTAACCCCCTTTATGCCCGGGGTGCCGTTACATTATGCATTTTTGTGATATGTAAAAATTGTATGTAAGTTTTCCTATTTGAGAGATAATTGGATTAGCTTAATTGGAGCTCAGTAATGTCTCAAAAACAATGGCTTATGGGAAGGAAACCCCTGTGATTTTGTATTGGAAATCCCATGCTAGGGGCACTGCAGAAGAAGCTGAGTGTGGCATAATAAAGTTCAGATTGCTGGTTTTACACAATACGACTGGTTGCGTCCATTATATTATGAAAAATCTACACAAAGGGAATACTTTCACTATATTCAGCACATCTGGATTATGACTAGTGGAGGATTGAAGGAATAGCAGCAATAGACTCACGAACCCGTGACAAATATAAACAGTGGTTTGTTTTAGAGAGCTGAGTTCAGGGGCTCTGTGGAAAAAAAGATTAATTGCTCTATTTCCTGTTCTCTTCTGGATGCTTCAAAATCCACATATTGATAGGAAATCACTGACCCTTTAATTGATATTTGTAGCACAGATCCTGTAATTCAAACTCCCTGGATATTTTCACTAGCACCTTGCGTATATGATTGGGCATTGACAGTTGATTTGTTTAGATCGATGGATAAACTTTCTGCATCAAGAATTTTCTCCAGTGAAGCCTATCTGAAATTATTGTTGCAGTGAAATTTGTTTACTTCCACACATGCATTTAAGATAGTGACTTGCTTGGAAACATCCTGACTTGTATGTTCAAAACATGCTTGGAATCTTCACCCCAATTAGCCTGGCATGGAACTGAAGCTGGAGGTTTAAACATACATATTCTAGCTGAAATACCCACCCAATACCTCTCAGAATCATGTGTTTTGGGTTGTTTTGTCTCCTATTTTCTGTTCTCCTAGCTCCCCTTCCATTGTGCCTTTCACTTCTATTTACACCCTATCTCCTCTACCTCATGTTCATAGGTGGCAAAATACCAAGGCCTTCAGGACTAGGGTAAATTTATGACCACTCCTAAAACCAGCCTTAAATAATGTTCTCTGTCAATAAATCACATTATGACATCAAATTTTGGAATGTATTCAGAGCGTTATATAAACCTATATTCTTAAACTCCACATCTGCTGAATTAACCCTAAACCGTGCTCTGCTAACAGTGCGTCTCATTGCACCAAAATCCTGTACCCCATTTAGCTACAGATAACAATGCCATAATCTGGACTGTGTGCCTGGAGAACTTGTTTGGGAACCATTAGTTTAGTGCATCTTTCCTTTGGAATAATTAAACCACAGCTCAGTTTTACAAAAGCAACACTCCCCTCTCCTGCCTTGTTGATTAAGTTTAGAATCTGCAATTCCATATTACCAATATCAATTATGTCCAAACTGGGCAGCATTGGAAGGCTGAGAATGCTGGACTAATCCCCTTCTGGAGCTCTCAATCAATCTGATCTAGTCTTTGAGTGCCATGGAGAGCCAAACTGGGGGGTATTAGCTCAGCACTCTCAACGCTCATCACTACTGTCCATGTTGGATGGCATTGATAGCAATAATGCAGAAATATAAACTCCACATTATCAAGTTGGATTGGGGTAATCTTTGTTTTCCAGGGACAACCCTGCTTTGTTTTATTAAATAAGCACCAAGTGATCTGAAAAAAATAGGGTCAGGACCCAGACGCAATAGGCAACAAGTACACTACACTGAGCTATAATGGTTTTATTAGTTAAACAAGCCCATTAAGATCCTTCCTATTGCACTAATATCGTTTTTTTCTTATCCCTTCTTTGGCTACTCTCTCCAGATGGTTCTCAAATTTTACAGCTACGACAAGCCTACTACTCTTATACAGGTGACAACCTATACCACATACATAAATTCTAGCTCACAGATAAAATCTGAGTTCTATGCATCAATATTATGAAGTAATTATTTTAAAAAAAAATTGGTAGTGACATGTTATTTTTCAATATGAGAATGGACACACGGATGTGTACCTCCTGTAAGAAAGGGGTTGTTATAATGACTGATTTTATATCTCGTCACATAGTAACGTACATAGCTGCGATGTAATATACTCATCTATCTTTATTGTGGTGTGAATTGTTTCATGTACCTATGTATTTTATTGCAAAAAACAAATAGAAAACTTTGAAAGAACACTTATTTTCAATGTTTGTGTTTGACCACGTGTGTGCTAATGTGTTAGTGGTGCCTATGTATGTGTATTCACACAGTATTTGGCTGAAGTATCTAACATCTCAAGTATAAGTATGGAAAATTTCTATGAAAAAAATATGTTTTGTAACACAAGTTCTGATGTGGGTTTTAGATAATTGCAAGGGTGTTTAACAATTGAACAGCCTATTTTTCTGTCTGTTTCTATTTCATTCAACACTGGCTTTCTTTGTGAAAAAATACCTCTGTGAAAGACAGAATGACAAGATTCAGATTTAAGTACAGGAAGCTGGAGATAGAGCTTTTGCATATAAGAGCAAATTATGTAAAATGCGCTGGTGTTTTGACAGAACAATAAAGCTTTCCTGCTTCAAAGTCCTAATATGACATAATAAAAAGGCATTTTGAGTGGACGGGGCCTGACTGCCATGGTGGAGAGTCACATCTTGCTTGAGTTCCTCTCCTAGTCGGGCAATACAAGCTGTTTTTAGCTATTTCAAGCCCACAATCTCACTCACTCACTGACTAACCTGCATCCCGACCTGACTGCAGCACACTGTGGAGGTTGGAAATGGGACAGAAGCTCAAAGGCAGCACAATCTGACACATGCAGCCTAGAGCACGCCGGACGGGAGAGGCGGACAATCTCCCAGGCTGGAGCGGTTCAACAGCCCTAATCATGATGCAAGCACCCCGCAAGCCCTCACTCCCCCCCCAGAACGGCAGGGGTGATCCCGGTCCACCCTTGGGAGGCTCGCCTGCTATACTCGGCACACAGAGAGAGACCACGGAGACCGCAGGGAAACCAAGTGAGCCACCAAGTATGGCGGACGCCACGTGGCACCACCACCCTGTCAACGAGCAAAGAGACCTAATGGCCAGACTCGACAGAATCTTTGACAAATTCTGGCAGGACCTGGAGAAGAGGAGGTATCACACCATCTCTGAGCAGCAGAGAGCACACTCACCTTCACAGCAGATTGTGTGCCCACAGCAGACACCCACGGTCTCGGCAAAGGTCCCAAAATGGCGACGACGCAAAAACAACGGCACATGGATGGAAAACAGCCCGAACCAAGACTGGGTCTACTAAAGTACCTGATAATCGCATGCGGCTGGCAGCAGGACAGGATACAGAGCTGTTGACCGGGAAAGCAACAACCCTGCCCATTGAGAGGTCCAGCCGGCCTTTGCTAGGCCCTGAGGCATTGCAGTGTTCGCTGCTGTACTGGGACTGTGCTCTCCCCTCAGCCCATCAAGCCGAGTGGCTGCAGGTTTATCCAGTTCCAGCGGCTTGGCAGATCCGGCATCGGCTGATCCCAGGGTCCTATGGGTCATGGGGACGGATCCTGCACCTCCATACCATTACTGTGACTGGGTTCATTAAAAGCTGACACTCCTCCAAAGCGCACAGACTTGCCTTGCTTATTTTGTTTTATTTAATTTTTATACGCACCCTAGGCACTTCTCTTCCTGCTGATAGTACCACAGAGACATGGTTGATATCCTCCATGTCTCCTATTCCTCCCATCTGTCTAAATAGTCACTCACACAGGCTAGGGTTCATGTTTTAAGCAGATTTTTGATCTTTACAACAAACTAGTGCTGTACTCTCGATGATGTTAACATATACCCTTTACTTATCAGCAAACATGCCTATCTAACCTGTTTTTAGAGTTTCCCACTTTCATCAACTTACCTAGCATGCTTTCAAATACTCAAAACACTGTGTACTAGACCTGTAGTTCACCCTGTTTAAAAATGTTTTAAAAGTGCAATTCTTTTATATGCCATAATACTGTACCTAAAATGTATGATGACTATGTGCTTGTCAATGTCGTTGTGGCATGACAAGCCTGTATGTTACTCTTTGCACACAAAAATAAAGAATTTAAAAAAAAAAAAAGGCATTTTGAAAGTTGTACATCATTTAACCCATGTTATCATCACCATCTTAGCTTCCATATAGTCTCTGGGAAAAGGGTCTGCCAAAGAGATCCCAGCTGTAGAACTAAAACTTTCATGATGTTTTGCCATATTTATATTTGGAAAACCAAAACAAGATATGTAGTTTTACATGACCACTGATCCCGTCACAAATCTTCCTCCCCTCCAGCATAATTATCTACCACTTTTTCTGGTATCCTATCAATTAATATAATACAACTTTATCAATGTGAATGGGGTAACAGCCAAAGCTGTATTGATATTTTTCATCTTAACATGAGAATGACCTGTCAGCTGATGGGTTCACTACCCGTTAGACAGATAAATAATTCCAAATTCCAAGATTCCATACAGTCTGCTTTCTTCGTCTTCAACCCATGCCTCCCCACAATCAATGGTGGGTCTTGATTAATGCTCTGGCCAGGACTGACACCAAGCTGTGACAAAAAAAAAAAACAAACAACACAACAGAACCAAACAAATCCAAATCTGTCCCTCAAATACTACAAGGAGGGGTGGATGCTCACTTCTTGAAGCTGTAAAGAAAATGGTGAGTTAAGCATTCAACCTTATATCCCACTCATGTGCAACACTGTTGCACTGCTAGTACAAGTTTTGCTATGCCAATCAATGGGACAGCCGCCAAGACCCCCTTTCCTAAAGGAGCAGGGTGTCACTACACGTGGTGGTCTACATCTAAGTAATTTACTGGTCAGTCTGTTATATAACGGCAGCGGTGTACACCATGTACAAGATCATTTACATGTAATTGTTTATAGAATGGCAGCAACACACTCACGCACAGCATAATTGGCTAGTGGTTGTTTTGTTATATAAAGGCATGAAACTAGGAGGTTTCATCTTCTCGCATACACTAGATAAAACATAAAATTAACAGCAAACAATGGCCTTGATTTAACAGGCTTTCCAAATGATTCAATACAGTTAAAAAAAACTTTGCAAATGAGTTAGACTTTAATGGAAACTTCCGTAGATAAATCATTTAGAATGTTTTTCTAACAGTATTGAATCATTTGGGAAACGTATTAAATCAAGGCCAGTGCATATTGTTACATCAAGCAGTGCTGCACATTTAAGTACAATTAAATAGTGAGATATATATATATATAACATTTTCAATATACCATCAACATGAAAACACACACTAATACATACCTCAGGGTTGGGTTGGGTTGGGTTGGGTTTCAAGTACAAAGAAATGACCTCTTTTGCACACAAAACTCGCTCATCTCAGTATGGACAGTGCTACACAGGACCAGTTTACCAGGAAGTATCCTGGTGGACCAGTCCAAATCTGGAGAACAGTGAGGGCACCAGCCACTAGCCCATCCACTTTTTCTGCCTTCCCGCCTGCTGCCTTACTCCTGCAGTAGTACTGTTCTAGCTTACTGTTTAGTTCTGAAAGCTAAAATGGCAGCAGTATGGTGGGATGTCTGTGTAACATTGTTTGAGACTGCAGCCCACATTCCCCTTGCTAGATATCCCCTGGACATCCAGTTCCTGAAGTACTGTAACCCCAGGCCACATCTGTTTTAATTAATTAATTCAATGTATGTAGAAAATAAAGCACAACAAAATAATCTAATGTATTTTTGTTGCGCCTTCAAATATGGCAAGGGAACGTTTTGACACAAGATGTGTCTTTGTCAATCTTATAGTAGATATTAAAGAACAGAATAGTGTGAAGGAGTTTCAGTAGATGAACTAGACAAAGGTAAAAATGAACAAACCTTTGTAGCTACCCAGATCTCACAAGCTGTTTTATATTGCGTTGCTAGTTTAGTTCCTGCACATTTGGTCACCAAGATCTGACTGATAATACACGTTGAATGTACATGTATGTTAAACATGTAAACATCAGTGCACAGCAAACAAAAAAAAGAATATATCAATGACATCAGCTGTCATTCATTACTAAAGTGTTCTTGACATTTTAGAGCCTTCAAAAACACAATCTTTGGCAAAGCATGTCTGCATTTATCTTCAATGGACATTTTAATGTAGTCATTTTGGTGCATAGACCCTCTCCCAGTTGCAGTCAGAATGCCTCTAGTGGTGGTCAGACAGATACTAAAGGCACTTCCTCATGAAGACTTGAAATAATTTAAAGAATGTACGTTCAGTGCCATCAAGCCCAGCATGGTGACACAGGAAACGGTGAGTTCTTCTCATAGAGAAGCTCTGAGTTCAGTCTCTAGGAGAAGAATCCAATAGGCTTAGCACGGCAGCTGCTGCACTTGCCCAGCAGGCCTGTAATGCTTCTTTATGAGAAGTATTGATCTCAGAAGAGGAGGAGCAAAAACAATCCAGCACTAAATAAAAGTTGATTAGAAACATGTTAGAGGGTTCCTTTAAGTACAATGTTAAATAACGTTTACAAGCAACAACAGCTCAAATAACAACAGTACAAGTAATAAGCAGGAATAACAGGACAAGTAATTAGCAGTTTTAATAAAGAAAATATCTTTAATAAACCACTCACCTCGCAGATCTGCCTGAATAGAGAATAACATTTTATGTCTAGTTATTTTTATTATAACTCTACCCCTCTAACTATAATGCTGCAACATTGCAGGCAAAAGTCCCATTAATAATTGGAAGACAGAGTATCCATCAGCATCAGTTCATTGATACAATGATAGATGTCTGAAGATTGTTAATATCTGGAGACCCTTCTATGACCCCTGGCAATGAAGGGGTTCTTCTGTGTGCTTTTTATAGAATGCATTAGCTGTTCTCACTCTCCCCGGAAATGATTGATCTAAAGTCTTGGAGATTGCTGCCTGACCCAAATCAATAGTTATCTAGAGTGGCTTTCACTGAGTTGCTGTCTGCACCCCCTGTAGCAATCAGAATATATTTCTACCAGCATGCCACTATTGCGCATTGCTTGTACTTTCAGTCTGTCTCCTCAATAAGGCATTACAAGGAAAAACGGTCCAAAGAAAACATTTTACACAAAACAAATCTGTCTTTCTGTGGTTTCTTGCTAAATTCATTGTACTTTGTACTGTGGTTCTAAGCTGGCAATAAGTGAGATATAGTAGCAAGAGTTATTTGAAGCACTCCGAAAGAGCAGAATTACATAACAAGATGTTAGATGGAGGGTGAGAAGAAGAAAGAAGATGTATAGACAATGTGACATATTAGCGAGAGGTAATATGCAATGGTAGGGGGATTATTACGAGAGATTATATGAAAGCAATTATAGGGAAATAGTATATGAAAGATTAGAATGCATTATGGAGAAATATAATATAAAGCGATGGGAAGACTTATTGGGAGGAATGATATGGAATAGTTGGAGGGGCTATAATGGTCTATAAGGACCATAAGGGGATAGAGAGAATTGTGTTATAGAACTACTGGGTGGAATTATAGAAAAAGCTTTTATCGAGCAGTAATAGGAATTATAGAGAGAGATTATATCATAAAGTAGGAAAATTATAGACTGGTTAGTAGAAGGAATGATACAGAGGAATCATATTGAAGGTATGTGAAATTGAGATTAGATGGAACGAGTTTCTTATTAAGAGGGATTATGGGGGGAGGATGCATGGATCAATACGAGGATAATAAGAGGATCGATAAGAGGATTGGGACATAGTGCATGGAATTACAAGGGAAAGTTGTATGTACTCATAAAATGATGTTATAGAAAAGAATAAGGAGAAATTGCAGGGCATGTTGATATGGACTATAAGGAGAGGTTATATGAAGGCTGACCAGTATCCCCCCTTTTCATTTTAGATTTTAGAATAAAAAAGCAGGCGTGTAGAACAGCAATAACTTCAACCCAGTCATGCTTTACACATTCTCATAAACAGCAGGAGAACTGACTGGAAATGTGTCTACAGAGATAGGGGATTATAATTTATATTGCACATAACTACATTGCGGGGTGCGAGGGGGATATTAAAGGAAGTTTTAAAAATAAGGTTTCCTAAGGACTCATCGCAAAAAAACCCCAAAACTTTTGTTTTGTGTATTCGTCATCTGACTATGTTTACTTTAGTTCATTTTACATGACATATACAGACTAATTTTTCTTACTCATCAATTATCTAAAACCATCATTCTCTCTGGCAGTGCCTACAGGCTGTGCCAATATCTTCCATTCAAATA